AAGTTGTATAAAAAAAAATGACATCTTGCTATCTGGATATGGACGTCTACAATATCTGTCTAACAATGCTCCCCCCTCCCCCTTATTGTTATTATTATATCAGCCGACTGTCCACTGCTGAATATAGGTCTCACCCATATGGGGATTTTTCCAGTAATTGCCACGATCGTGTTGGCGGTGGGGGGGGGGGGGGATTGTTAGTTATGCGTACTACCAGTCCCATTGCTAGCAATATACCCTGTCAGGTCGACCTCCACGTGGTTCCCCCTGGAAACCATCGTGCTGCATTCTCTGGGTATTCATCACGATGGGCTAACTGACCTGCTTTTTCATTCTCAACTATCATTCCTCACTGGTGCCCCGTCAGCGTACACCGATAGCGCAGGCGACATGCGAGGATGATGGCAGGTCAGTTGACCCATAGTTACACCAATTGAACAAGAATTAACCAATATGCTTTCTAGTGGGAACCGTGTGGAGGTCGACCTAATAGGGTGTATTACTAGCAAGGGGGACGTTAAATCTTATTACTCACAATCCCTTTCTCTCCTGTACACGAAGGTTTGTGATGTGGCTTACCTAAAGGTGGCTTTACGCCTCCAAAAGAATGAATCGAGGGACATCATAAACACAGGGAAGGAAGGGATTGTTAGTAATGGACGCTTAAGAGCCCTATTGCTGGCAATATACCCAACCAGGTCGACCTCCACGTGGTCCCCAATGGAAACCATCGTGCTGGATTCCAGGCCATTCCATATACATAATTGAGGGCTAACTGACCCGTATTTTCATCATCACCTATCATCCCTCACTGGTGTCTCGCCAGCGTATACCATTAGCGTGGGCGGGGCTACCATTCCATTATCATTCATAAAAAAATCATAAACACACACACACACACACACACACACACACACACGTGCACACGCACACGCATAAGCACACGCACACGCAAACGCACACGCAGAAGCACACGCACACGCACACGCACACGCACACGCACACGCACACGACACGCACACGCACACGCACACGCACACGCACACGCACACACAGACGTTTACACTAAAAAATTCGAATACACACACTTCTAGAGTCATAAAAAATCAATTCATTAAATAACGATTAAAATATTTACATAAAATGTTAATTATTGTTTCTAAAAATTTCCAATATGATTGCTTAATCAAATTTGAATAAAACATTCACATAATAACTGAACAAAGTAAGTAAAAACTTTTCAAAAATTCATTTGAAGCACCGTTACAAAAACAATCATGGCCGTGTTTCAGTTTGAAGGGTGGGATATGGCGTGAATTTACAGGGTACAGAGGAATAACACCTGAGTCCTCAGGAATGGCAACGCATGGGGGGTATCATGAGCGAAACAGTATATTCCGTTATGTCCATGGTACTGCTCATGTCTATAGGCGACGGTTATCACTTTCCATCAGGTGGACCGTCAACTTGTTTGCCATTCTAAGTTGTATAAAAAAAGAAATAAAATAAAATATAGTAATTCGTATATGACTTCGATACAATTATATTTATGTACCAATTCCACTCACGGGAACTGAACCGGTATACGAGCGAAGGTTGTGCAACTGCAGAGATCATTTATATATAAATAGAAATGATTGTATTTCGTATCATCAATACGTAACTGGTCTTATTTCGGTCCGGAGGGTTAGTCGACAGTGCAAACCAGAGGGAGACTTTGTACAAAAGTCGTTTGCACGGCCACCTCTGTCCCATTCGTGTTTCTAGCGTGAAGCAGTTGTGTTTGCATGGCTGTGTTTCGGTTTGAAGGGTGGGATATGGCGTGAATTTACACGGTACAGAGGAATAACACCTGAGTCCTCAGGAATGGTAACGCATGGGGAGTATCATGGGTGAAACAGTATACTCTGTTGTGTCTATGGTACTGTTCATGTCTACAGGCGACGGTTACCACTTTCCATCAGGTGGGCCGTCAGCTTGTTTGCCATTCTAAGTTGCATAAAAAAAATCTCTGACCGGTATATGACCAAGTAGCACAGTGACGTTTATCACTATAAAGTGACGTCATATTTAAGTCATTTTATCGTCGCAACCTTTTAATGATCTTATTCCTATGACTTTTTACAGTCATAACCCTATCATATCTTAAAATAAGGTCCTTATTGAATCAATTTACAATTGAAATTATAAAGTATCTTAAGAATGACGTCATTATTAGGTCACTTTACGGTCGCAACTCTAAAGTGATATAATAAAATGACGTCATTCATAATTCAATTTACTGTTATATCTTGGGTTTGTGAAAACGGAATCTCTCCGTTTGTTACTTATCTAAACGGGTAAGAACATAGTGTCATGGGCATATAACATGTATAGACTCATGGGAAAAAAGAAGGGATGGTCCATTCTATGCCGGGACCATACAAACTACACTATATAAATAAATTAATAAAAGAACAATAAAATATCTCTATCATACACTAAACATACAACATACAACATAGTAGCGTGAGCCGGAATATAAAGGAATTATCAATTCATTCATAAAAACATTGACAAACAAAAGCGCATGCCAAATCTTTCTAAGGCATATCGCACGTTAAGCAACTAATGTTATTATAACGCCAACGGTTTTGTATTGTTTTTTTTACAACACAGCGAACGAGCATACGGCTCACCTGATGGTAAGTGACTATCGCCGCTCATGATCACCCGCAACACCAACGGCATTGCAGGAGTGCTGTCGGCCTTTTAAAAAGGAATATACTCTTTTCTTGAAGGTTATGTTGTCGTATCGGTTCGGAAATACTGCTGCTGTAAGTTGATTCCAAAGAGAGGAAATTCCAAAGGTTGTGCGTGGGAGAAGGTGCCTTGTAAAACGCACAGTGGAGGACCGCCACTCATCCAGATGATTGGGATGAAACTTTAGTTTGTGGCGGGTTGTACGGTGGTGAATTGAATCCGAAAATTCGGAATTTCATTTCATGGTAGACTTCTTTATTGCCGACGTTTCGACGTTGATTGCACCACGTCGTGGTCATGAAAATTTTACTATAAAACTAATTCTTTTTTTTTTAATACAATAATTCATTTGTCATATTGTCCTATTTGAAAATAAGTTTTAACTAAAGATAGAAACAAAAATCGTTGTTTTTCAAGCGACTTCGATAAAGAAATAGCTTTTCTTTTTGGTTGTTTTTTTATGTCTGTTACCTCATAACTTTGTCATTTTTAAACGAATTTGTTAAATTATTATATTATCTGAAAAGATATATTTACAGATTGGTCCCATAGGAATATTATCGAAATCGGTTCAGTAATTTAGTTTTTAAATAAAAATAACTGTTTCACCACGACTAAAATCGATATTCTTTTGAGAGTGTTTTTTTTTTCTAAATTGTAATAATTCTTAAGTTATTGTGCTTGTATTTATTGTGGCGCAATGTGTGATGCGCCTTAGAGTTCGCGGTGCAAATTTACCCGTGACCCGTCAACTCGGCTGTGTGAGGGTCAACGGGTCAATGACACGTGTCGCGTTTAGATTTAGAATAATGTGCGTTTTGTTCGATCAAGTTGAGTTGTTTATGTATTTTTGGTGATACATATTGCAACTTTTATGTTATTTGACGGGCGTCTATCTTTTTTTTTTTTTTTTTTTATACAACATAGAATGGCAAACAAGCTGACGGCCCACCTGATGGAAAGTGGTAACCGTCGCCTATAGACTATCTCATCTACTATCTTATCTTATCTGTTATCTTAGCTGTTTTTATTTACTTTTTAAAAGTATTTCATTACTAAAATGTATTAATGTATACGTAATTATATACTTTTATAAGTGTTGCCAGTGATGCCAGCTCATGGGTCGCAGCGGTGGCTAGATCATTGTATAGTATCGAAAGCGGCTGTGTCCTCTGTACGTAGAGTGCACATACAATATGACATACTTGGTCAGACCATTTTTATTCTTGAGTGTAATTTAGACGTAGTTCCACATAAGATAGAAGAAGTAAAATGTGAACGTAACAATTTTTTGTGGGGTGACAGAGGCATAGAACAAATCGACTCATATTATAATGAGTGTCATTCTCATTTCAAACTTCTTAAGTTTCCATCCGAGTTCCATAACTGTGCCGATCAGACTTGTAATGTTATACAACATAGACAGGTCATTGATAAGTTGTATAATGATATAATAAATGTACTAAAGAGAGCGGCTGTAGCTAGTAGAAATAACACACATTGTAAGCGTAAGAAAAAGAAAAATTGTAATAGGTTGGAATAAACATGTTAATGAGGCACACAGGAATGCCAGGCAGAAATTTCATGTTTTGTGATTATGGTAAACCTAGAGTTGGCTCCATCTATAATGATATGTGTGAGGCTATCTAAAGTGGTGTCAAGACCACGAAGAACAAATAAAGATTATTCTAGCTTCACATCATTCTAATAATGACTTTCGGTCTTTCGGCTGAAGCTAAGTACAAATATTGAAGGCGTAAGTAATGCCGAGAACATAGCTGACTTTTTAAGGATCATTTTACTGTTAAATCCCCTTTGGGGCCATCGCGGCGGAGTTGAATGTTGAGACTGGACGTGTGGTGAAGTAGATCGAATTATAAAATCTATGAGTAGAGGTAAATCTCCAGGACACGACAGTCTCAGTATTGAACATCTAAAACATGCTGGGCCACACTTGGCGAGACTGTTGGCAATGCTCTTTAACTTTTGTATAAGTCACTCGTACATGCCGGAGGAGATGATTAGAACAGTGGTGATACCTGTAGTTAAGAATAAAATTTCTGATATAACAGACAAAAATAATTATAGGCCAATCTCCTTAGCTACTGTTGTCTCAAAGGTGTTTGATAGCATACTGATCAGCATATAAAACTTCATGACAACCAGTTTGGCTTTCAAACTGGACTGTGAAACGCTGTTCTTTGTGTTAAGCATGCTATTAGATACTATACAAATCGAAAAACGCCAGCATGCTTTCTCGACCTGTCGAGAGCTTTTGATCTGGTTTCTTATGACATCTTGTGGAAAAAGCTCGAAAATTTTCAATTACCATCAGAGCTCATAAATATCTGCAAATATTGGTATGGAAATCAGCTCAATAGCGTGCGATGGGCGGGGACTATGTCGCAGTCATACAGATTGGAGTGTGGTGTGAGGCAAGGAGGGTTGTCTTCGCCGGTACTATTTAATCTGTATATTAATGATCTGATTGTTGCTTTGAGTGGTACCCGTGTCGGCTGTCACATAGACGGCATTAATGTTAATAATATAAGTTATGCTGATGACATGGTGCTGCTTAGCGCGTCGATATGTGGGCTTAAAAAACTCGTGGCTATTTGCGAGTCATATGCTGCATGCCACGGACTGATATACAATGCTGTGAAAAGTGTGGTCATGGTCTTTGAGAGCAGAGGCAAAAACTCAATAGGCTTTCCAGATATTAAACTTAAGGGTATAGCGCTGAAGAGGGTGTATAAATTTAAATATTTAGGACATCAATTGGCCTCGGATCTCAAAGATGATGATGACATTGAACGGGAGCGGAGGGCGCTGGCGGTGAGGGCGAATATGATAGCACGCAGGTTTGCGCGGTGCTCTGGACAAGTTAAAATTACGTTATTTAGATCACATTGCACATCTTTTGCAATGGGCTGTATATACTCAAAAATCCTACAGCGACCTCCGTATCCAATATAATAACGCGTTCAGGGTGTTGATGGGGCTGCCACGATTCTGCAGCGCGTCAGGGATGTTCGCTGAGCATCGTGTAGATTGTTTTTATGCCACGATGCGAAAAAGGTGTGCATCCCTGGTGCGCAGAGTACGTGCCAGCACCAACAGCATCCTGAGTATGATAAGCAGGCTGGACTGTGTGTACGTTAATCACTGCTGCGCAATTTCCAATGGAATTGTGCAGCGGTGATTATACTGCTTAATATATTGTATGTGTGTATGTGTGTGTATGTGTATTGTGTATGTAAATTTACTAACATTAGTTTTTAAGAATATTGTTACTAATAAATATTTAATGGACCAAAAAGTCTGAAATAAAAATTATTATTATTATTATTATTATTATCGAACCGAAACATGGTCCAACACGATTGCCCGTATGCAAAAGCTACAAGTTACTCGGCGGGCTATGGAGAGGGCTTTTTTTATTGGTGAAAATGGTATGGTAACCCCGCCTGCGCTAACGGGATACGCTGGCGGAGCACCAGTGAAGGGTGATAGATGAGAATGAAAACTGGCCAGTTAGCCCATCATGATGAATTCATCAGGAATTTTCCATGGAGTACCGCGAGGAGGTCGACCTGGTTGGGTATATTGCTAGCAATGAGATTCTCAGTCTTTATTACTAACAATCCCTTTCCCCCCTACTCAGCAAGTTATGGAGAGGGCTATGTTAATAGTCTCTTTGCATGATAGAATCCGAAACGAGGATATCCGCAAAAGAACCAAAATAACCGACATATACCGAAGGATAAGCAAGCTGAGGTGACAATGGGCTGGTCACATAGCACGAAGAATCAACAACCGATGGGGAAGAAAGGTTCTTGAGTGGCGACCGCGTACGGGCAAACGCAGTGTAGCGACCCGCCACTAGATGGAGTGACTACCTGAAATGTATTGCAGGGAGTCAGTGGATGCAGGTGGCTCAGGACCGTTCTTTATGGCAGTCTATGGAAGAGGCTTATTCCAGCAGTGGACGGGTAATGGCTGAAATGATGATATACTGTTATTAGAAATATTTATATATCTATCATTACTTTATAAAAATATTATTCATTTAGAAATTACTTCATTCATCATCATCATCATCATCATTCATCATCAACTAATCCTACTTCCAGTTTTTATTTGTGATCTACGTAATATGTTTTTCTCTTCCATTCTTCTCCATTCGCAGCCATTTCCGCATTTACTGCCATCAAATTGCTTCATTGTAACAATAATATAAATATAAAAAAATATTTTTTATATAAATTTAGAACAACGTCTTTCTAACTAAATGAAACAAAGTCAGCGAGTTCTTTTCGTTTTTAATTAAAAAAAAAAATCATTAAATCGATTTACGATCGGCAAAGATATCACGTAACGTACTCTCCATTTTGGAAGTCGGTATAAAAGACTGGTTCGCCGCAATTAAAATTAAAACTCACACGTTTTGTAATGTCTGTCCCGTCAAATCTGCTGACGACCTCTTACACTGAGCAGCGACTGTGCTGTACTTAAAAAATAAATAAATAATACAGCGTTACACTGAAGGGCATATCACACTATCCAATAAACTATATAGGATCATATTTAGACTAATCTATAGGCGACGGTTATCACTTTCCATCAGGTGGGCCGTCAGCTTGTTTGCCCTTCTAAGTTGTATAAAAAAAAATATTAGTTTTTGTATAATAAAAAAAATTATCTGCGATATTGAAATATGCTGACGGGGCATCAGTGAGTGATTATTGGTAAATTAACCATGGACATAACAGAGTATACTGTTTCGCCCATGATACCCACTAATGCGTTGTCATTCCTGAGGACTCAAGTGTTATTCCTCTGTACCCAGTAAATTCACTGCCATATCCCACCCTTCAAACCGAAACACAGCCATGCAAACACAACTGCTTCAAGGTAGAAACACAAATGGGACAGAGGTACCCAAGCAAACGACTTTTGTACAAAGTCTCCTTCTAATAATAAAATATGCAACGTAAAAGTTTTAAAGTTGACAATGTATCATTATAATAATAGCCTTTATTTAATAATTTTAACTTAGAATGGCAAACAAGCTGACGGCCAACCTGATGGGAAGTGATAACCGTCGCCTATAGATATGAGCAGTACCATGGACATAACAGAGTATACTGTTTCGCCCATGGTACCGCTCATGCATTACTGCTATTGCTGAGGAGTCAGGTGTTATTTCTCTGACTTGCCATAAACAGACAAATCATTGGATGAAATTATATATACATGGTCATATATATTTGATAGTGTAACAAGCCCCTAACGGGCCACACCCATAGTGTACTTTCATTCAGTTTGCACCTGACGCCGTGTAGTCATCGCTCATATAGAGAAAGGAGATCTCTTGATATTCGAATGAGGCTTGTTACTGTTTCCATTGTACATACGATATATTTTATTATAGTATAAAACAAAGTAGCTGTATCCATCTGTCCGTCCCTATGTATGCTTAAATCTTTAAAACTACGCGACGGATTTTGAAGCGGTTTTTTAATAGTTAAAGTGATTCAAGAGGAAGGTTTATATGTATAATACATGCATAATATTGTAGAGAAATACTGATAAATTTAGAGGTTTCTAATGTGATGTGATGTAATGTGTGTGTACACGCGCGAAGCCGGGGTGGGTCGCTAGTTAATAATATAATATGACACATATATACATACATACATACATATATGGTAATATATAATATGTAGATTATATCCAAACATAGCATATAGGATAATTTACGCACTGATTCTCGTAGACAAAGCCGTCAGATGCAGCTAGTATTTAAATAACTAATTGTGCCTTTTGCCTTTTTTAGTGCATTAGTATAAAAAGTACTTCCACATGTTTTTTTTTTTACAACACGGAGCAAACGAGCGTGCGGCTCACCTGATGGTAAGTGACTACCGCCGCCAAATCTGTGAATCTACAATGACATGTAATGTGTGATCGAATACGAAATGATATTTAAGCCTATTCAGCTGTTTAAACTTGAGTAACATTTTTTTTTTCACTCAGGCTTAAATAGTTTAATACTACAAATATAATGTTCTATGGTTTTAAATGAGTGCATTGGACAATCTGTAAAGCCTTTGTACAAAAGTCGATTGCTTGGGTACCTCTGTCCCATTCGTGTTTTAACCGTGAAGCAGTTGTATTTGCATGGCTGTGTTTCGGTTTGAAGGGTGGGATATGGCGTGAATTTACTGGGTACAAAGGAATAACACCTGAGTCCTCAGGAATGGCAACGCATGGGGGGTATCACGGGCGAAACGGTATACTCTGTTAAGTCCATGGTACTGCTCATGTGTACAGGTGACGGTTACCACTTTTCATCAGGTGGGCCATTAGCTTGTTTGCCATTCTAAATTGTATAAAAAAATAAAAAAAATGTATATTATATATATATATAAATATTCGATTTTGCTTCCCGTTTTCTTGTTTCATTTGTTATATCCTCACGACTTTAATTTCTAACAATGCAGTCAGAGACATTTATTGTGATGAACTTAACGACCGATATGTTTATATTTCGCCCAGTATATTTGAATACACCATGGCATTTCGGTTCGCTTTCGCTTTGAGTTGTGTAGTGTATAATCAGTTTTTTTAGTAATCCACACAGACCCTAAGCCTCTCTGCATGGTGTATTTTCCTGATGTTAAAAAAGAGGGCGATCCTACCGCCATCTCTTGGCGTAGTTTTAATTTATTATCGGTTTTTCTACGATTACAGTCATAGTTATATTGTACTACAGGCTAATTTTGTTTAAGGAAATAAAGTTTATTATTATTTTTTATTATTATTATTTCTCTTTACTTTCTACTAATTTTCTTGCTTTCTACTGATGTGTCGTACTTTATTTCCTCATCGCGTCTTACGACATCTTGTGGACAAAAATGAGACGTGACATATTTTATTTTTGTTCTATTATCACGTGGAACTCTTTGAAGTTTTGTCAGTACTGAGTGTTTCAGACGATATATGGAATACGGCCAAATCTTTTTGAAAATAAAATACAATCCATATAACTCGATGATAATGCAGCTTTCTATAGGCGAAATAATTTTTAAAATAGGTTAATTTTTTTTTTTAGTTTAATCATTGCAATCGATAAAATTAAATCTTTCATCCAATCCAATTCATGTATATTGAAATAAAGTAATGCTAGGTCTCGCTGCAGCTATTTTGACTTTGGTCGCCGACTTGAATTCGTGATGCAATGGAAACGTTCAACTAACTGGCGTGTGTCCAATCTCGAACAGATAAATCTGACCTGCGCGGGCGCATCCGTTCACCGATCACCTGTATTATGTAAATCCTAACTTTTTGGTCTTTTATCACGTGTGCTGGTAGCGTGGCTTAAGTGATTACGACTGATGATTACGTGTCATCAACCTTTATAATGATTTATTTATTTACTAGCTTTTAACCGCGACTTCGTCCGCGTGACCGGGATATGTTCACTGACCGGGATTAAAAGTAGCCTATATTCTTCACCATGTCGTGTGATCCCGGTATAGAATAGGCCACATCTTCCTTTCCCGTGGGTGACGTAATAGGCGACTAAGGGAGGGCGTGGGATGGGCAGTAGCGTCTCTCTTAAAACATCTCTAAAGCTTGACTGTGGTTGCCAATCTGTTTGTCAAACTTGGCAACTACTGGTAAAATCTCCAGTGTCCAGCAGTGGACAGTTAAAGGCTGATATGATGATGATTCTTCATCATGTCATATAATAATATACATGTACGCTAAATATCATAGTGGTTAGTTAAGCCAAAATGACTTTAAAGAAACAGAGGGAGACTTTGTACAAAAGTCGATTGCTTGGGTACCTCTGTCCCATTCGTGTTTCAACCGTGAAGCAGTTGTGTTTGCATGGCTGTGTTTCGGTTTGAAGGGTGGGATATGGCGTGAATTTACAGGGTACAGAGGAATAACACCTGAGTCCTCAG